GACCTCTGAGCAAGAAAGGCAGACGAGTTGCGAAAAATGGCTCACGCAAGGCGTTCATAAAAACCTAAACAAGGTCAGCGGTTTCATACGGCAGGAAGTGAATCCTTCTGAGGCCGATTAAAATTAGGACGTAGTCAAACTCGGTTCTCCCCCTGCCTCACAAAGTGGTAGCACGCAACACACCATATAGTGTGCTCTACTGTCTCGGAAGTGCACACGGTTTCACTGCCAGCTCTATCCGAGGGCAAAGCTCTGAGCGCATGGCGCTGCGAGAGAAGCAACGTGGATGTGAAAAGTTAGGTTTTGCTGGAATAACGTGATACCGGCAAATCGACTGTGTCTCGAAGGTGTTATTACATGCAGGACCGTCAGAGGTACAGACGGTGACGTAGTTCAGCCCACATGTAAAGAAAAATAAGGCACGTCGATCGCCAGAATCATGGTTTTATTCGTCTGAGATTTCGAACTCTTACTGGAGGCCATCGTCAGAGATAAAAGGGTCAACAATAAAAGAACAAGCAACAGTTATAAGGGGCAGCGACCTGGGCCCTAGACGAGAACTAAGTCAATCGATTTATCGATCTGGCGCCGGCATCTCCGGACTGAAGCCCTTGGTAGTTTATTGGCCACTGGCCCCCTATGGTTGTTCCTTATTTTTTCGTTGACGATGGACTCCAGTAACAGTTCGAGAGTTCAGACGAATAAAACCATAATTCCGGCGACGACGTGCCTTATCCTTCTCTACCTATACAAACACCTGGGATGCGAACATTCGCCTCGATTCGTAATTCATCCCAGGCGGCTTGGTCAGGCACTCCATTGAACTAACTGGAAAACAAGGCTGCGATGCTCTCTTTCATAAAGTCTGCCAAATTTGAGGCTACCGTAGCAGTAACGAAGGTACGGGCGGACTGGGTCGCCGAAATCAGGGCAGACGGAGGTGGCGCCTCCCGACTTCGACCGGACTGTTGGAGATGAAAAGCCTCGGAACGAGAAGACGACAACTCGATCGTTGGGACAATACTTTCATTCGCTTGACGTTTCGAGATCCGTCGCGGATTCGGCATCAGAGCGCAGTAGCAAATACAGGTAATGTGTGCACAGGAGGTTTGCTGTATAAGACAGT